CCTGATCGCCCTGCGGCTCTGTGTGTGACAGGGGGCAGCGCCCAAACTCCCTGATCGCCCTGTGGCTCTGTGAGTGACAGGGGGCGGGGCCACAACCCTCCTATCCGCCCTGCTCTGTGTGTGACAGGGGGCGGTGCCCCAACCCCCCAATCGGCCCTACCCTGAGCGTGACTGAGGGTGGCATTGCAACCTCCCGATCCGCCCTGCTCTGTGCATGACGGGGCGGCGCCCCTACTCCCCAATCGGCCCTGCTCTGAGCCTGACCAGGGGCTGCACCTAGGGATTGGGCCTGCCCTCTGCCACCCGGGAGCAGGCCTAAGCCAGCAGGTCATTATCTCCCGAGGGGTCCCAGACTGCGAGAGGGCACAGGCCGGGCTGGGGGACCCCCCCTCCCCTGCCCCCCGAGTGCACAAATTTTTGTGCACCGGGCCTCTAGTCCTATATAATAAAAGGCTAATATGCAAATCGACAAAATGGCAGAATGACTGGTTGCTATGACGTGCACTGATCACCAGGGGGCAGACGCTCAATGCAGGAGCTGGTCAATGAGGATTGCTGGTCAGTGCACTCCCACAGGGGGAGCGCCGCTCAGCCAGAAGCCGGGCTCACAGCTGGTGAGTGCAGCAGCAGTGGCGGGAGCCTCTCCCACCTCCGCGGCAGCGCTAAGGATGTCTGACTGCCGCCTTAGGCCAGCTCCCCTAAGCCAGCAGTCGGACATCCCCCGAGGGCTCCTGGACATCCCCTGAGGGCTCAGGCCTGGCTGAGGGACCCCCCTCCCAAGTGCACGAATTTCATGCATCGGGCCTCTAGTAGGTTATAATCCAGTACTCCTTTGTTTTGCTCCACTTGTTCCAGTTTGACCATTGGGAGTTCTTTCAGTTGGATCCTATATCCCTCTGGTTATAATCATTATGGGGTTTGTGGTGGCTTTTACATTTTTTATTTTCATACTAGAGGCCTAGTGCATGAAATTCATGCACAGGTAGGGTCCCTAGCGGCTGCCGGCTGGGGCCTCCCTTCCCTTGGCTGCCTGCCATCGCCACTCCCTGGTGGTCAGCGTGTGTCTCCCAGTCAGTCGAACTCCCACCCATGGGGACAGTTTGCATATTAGCCTTTTATTATATAGGATTTTATTCTTTTTGGTTTGGTAATCCTCACTCAAGGACATTTCTTCCATTGACTTTTAGAGAGAGTAGAAGGGAGGGAGGGTGGGGAAGAGGTAGAGGGAGAGAAATATCGACGTGAGAGGGACTCATCGGTTGTTTGCCTCCCACATGGGCTGGTGATCGGTCCTACAACCCAGGTACATGCCCTTGACCAGGAATTCAAATGGCAACCCTTAGGTCTGCCAGCCAATGCTCTAACCATTGAGATACCGATCAGGGTTATTTTTAGCACTTCCTTACTTTGTGGCACTATAGGAAGCCTCAGTTCTAGAATCAGGCATTTCCCCAAGGAGTTCTGGTTCCTCTTGATGGAGAATGACCTTAGAAGCCATGATCTGAGAGCTGAGTATGTTCATTTCTATTGGGGTGTCAGTCTTTTAGGCCCTTTCAGCTGACAAAGCAAAAAAAAATAGGAGTTTATTGCCGTAACCGGTTTGGCTCAGTGGATGGAGCGTCGGCCTGCGGACTGGAGGGTCCCGGGTTCGATTCCAGTCAGGGGCATGTGCCTTGGTTGCGGGTGCATCCCCGGTGGGGGGTGTGCAGGAGGCAGCTGAATCGATGTTTCTGATTCTCTATCCCTCTTCCTTCCTCTCTGTAGAAAAATCAATAAAATATATTTTTTAAAAAATAGATTATGTTAACTCATGTATATATACCATCTGTAAACATTTCTGAATGTCACCATCTGAATCTGTTGTAAGTGAAACTTGAGTTCATATAAATCTCCAACTCTAACTCACTATCACATGGACCATTCTAGTTTCCTTTCCTTGCTCATCTGGAACCTCCCCCTGCACCACTGAGAAGCACCTGTTTACTTAGTTGTTCAACCCCAGAGTCATTCATCTATACCTCCTGGAGATAGCTTTATCAGGTAGAGTGCAGTGCTCCCATGCAGTTGGGGAGGTGTATTGTTAAGACCCTCTTTCTCTACCTTTGGAACTAGAAGTAGACTGTGAGTAAAAATTATGAGGTTGAGCCCAGCCGATGTGGTTCAGTGGTTGAGCATCCAACCCATGAACCAAGAGATCCTGGTTCCATTCTTGGTCAGGATATATGCCCAGGTTGTGGGCTTAATCCCTAGTGAGGGGCATGCAGGAGGCAGCTGAATTATATCTCTCTCTCATCGATGTTTCTTTATAGCCCTCTCCATTCCTTTCTCTTTAAAATCAGTAAAAACATTACAAAAAAATTATGAGATTGAATTGAAACTGTCTTCTCTCTCTCCCCCGCAGCCCATGTTGTTGTCAATTCAGTAGATTTCCGGTCTCATAATATCAGTGTCTAAGTTTAGCTCCTTAGAAATAGTTCTGGTATCATAAGCTCAAGTTAGCACAGTGATTCCCAAAGTGGGCGTTACCGCCCCCTGGTGGGCGCTGCATCGATCCAGGGGGGGCGGTGATGGCCACAGGTGCATTTGGGGGCATATATCTTTCTGTTTAATTGCTATTAAAATGTTTAAAAAAATTAATTTCCAGGGGGCGCTGAGTAATATTTTTTCTGGAAAGGGGGCGGTAGGCCAAATAAGTTTGGGAACCACTGAGTTAGCATATGTAACTTTTCTCTAATTTACTGTCAGTGTCTAACATAATTCTTATTTTCTCGCCATAGAAAGAAGTTTTGGTATGAAGGCCCTTCCCTGGGCTCTCACTTGGTAAGTAGAGTAGCAGCAGTGAGCCCCTTCACAGCCTTGATGGGCATGAGGTTCCAGAAATCGGCAAGGCTCCAGCCTGGCAGTCCTTCCATTTCCATGTTGGAGAGGACAGGGTCTGCAGGGGTGGGACTGGTTGAATTGGTAACATGGAATTTGGACCTTCAAAAAAAATTACTGACACGAAAGTTTTCCAGAATGTCATATCTATGATCAAATTCTGACACAGTAATGTCCATTCAGTTTTTATTTTATTTTTTAAATATATTTTTATTGATTTCAGAGAAGAAGGGAGAAGGAGAGGGAGATAGAAACATCAGGGTTGAGAGAGAATCGTTGATCGGCTGCCTCTTGCACACCCCCCACTGGGGACCAAGCCCACAACTGGGGCATGTGCTCTTTTTTTTATTTGACAGGAAAACAAACTTTATTGAGCCCCCCGCCCTAGTTCTCTTTCTCCTGTACAGTCTTGGTTCCCTGTAGATGCCCAGTCCGGCGAGTGGCAATGATACCCACTTTTTGGCCAGCAGGGGCTGAGGTATGTGCTCTTGACCAGAATCGAACCTGGGACCCTTCAGTCCACAGGCTGACACTCTATCCACTGAGCCAAACTGGCTAGGGCCATTCAGTTTTTAATGTGTGTGTATAAAACACACATACGTGTAGATACATTGCACAAGTTTATGTAATTAATGACTCTGGGGACACTGATAGAAAAAAATAAACTGTGTATACTAAAAACCATTGAATTTTACATGTTAAGAGGGAGGATTTTATGTGTGGATTATATTTCAGTAAAAATTTTTCTTGAAAAATATGTACTGGCAGTAATTTTTTTAAAATATATTTTTATTGATTTTAGAGAGGAAGGGAGAGGGAGAGAGAAATAGAAACATTAACAATGAGAAAGAATCATTGACCGGCTGCTTCCTGCATGCCCCCTGCTTGGGATCGAGCCCGAAACCTGGGCATGTGCCCTTGACTGGAATTGAACCCGGGATCCTTCAGTCCTCAGGCCAATGCTCTATCCACTGAGCCAAACCAGCCAGGGCAGTAATTTTTTCTTTAAAATATATTTTTATTAATTTCAGAGAGGAAGGGAAAGGGAGAGAGAGATAGAAACATCAATGATGAGAGAATCATTGATCGGCTGCCTCCTACACGCCTCACACTGGGGGAACAGGGGGATCAAGTCCATAACCCAGGCATGTGCCCTGACCGGGCATTGAACCCTGACAGGGTTCATAGGTCGACACTCAACCACTGAGCCATGTCGGCCGGGCAGTAATTTTTATCTTGGAGGAATGCTAGGTAAAATCTGGAAGGATCCAGCTCTGTAAAATAAACTTATCTTAAAGCTAAGGTGGTTGAGTGTAACATTTGTTTCTTGTTTACCAAGGTGTTCAAATTCTTCCCAGCTGCCTTTATTGTAAGTTAGTACAAGTTTAATGTATAATCTAATGTTAGCCTTTGTGTCTATTCTTCTTAATGCAGACTTACAAGCCATCCAAGTTGGAACTCTTAACAAAGAGCACGTCAAAGAAAACCAGGAAGGAAGACCACGTGCGCCTGAGGGCCCTGAATGGCCTCCTCTACAAAGCGCTCAGCGATTTGCTGTGCAGCCCTGAAGTGAGCCAAGAGATCTACGACCTGAATGTGGAGCTGTCCAAGGTAGACTGCAGAGGCCAAACAGAAATGGGACTGAGGATTGCTGGCCTAACCGTTAGGAAAAAGGCACCAGGTCACTCACAAGGTCTTTAGTTTGGGTTGTAGAAGTGATGCTAAGGGTGGCCATTTAAGTACTGAAGACAGATGGAGGGGATGATTGTGGTACGAAATCAGGGAAAGGAGGTATCTGACCAGATAGCACCAAGTGTGTGGTCAGACGCCCAGAAAGTGTGATGACATGGAGCAATCGAAGACCTGTGGGTCAGATGAGAAGTTGTTATGTCTGCCTTTGTCTTGGAGTAAAGACGAAGGGGGTGACTTTCTGCCATCTGTCCACTTAGAGCAGGGGTTCTCAACCTTCTGGCCCTTTAAATACAGTTCCTCATGTTGTGACCCAACCATAAAATTATTTTCGTTGCTACTTCATAACTGTAATGTTGCTACTGTTATGAATCGTAATGTAAATATCTGATATGCAGGATGGTCTTAGGCGGCCCCTGTGAAAGGGTTGTTCAACCGCCAAAGGGGTCGTGACCCACAGGTTGAGAACCTCTGACTCAGAGTGAGTTTAGCCAAAGGGAAGTAGTGAGGAGAATAGTGGCAGTTCAGGTGTTTTCAGTGAATGCTGTGGGGTCGGGGTCGGGGCCTTCATACCAAAACTTCTTTTTATGGCGAGAAAATAAGAATTATGTTAGACACTGATAGTAAATTAGAGAAAAGTTACATATGCTAACTTGAGCTTATGATACCAGAACTATTTCTGGCCCCACTTCCTCAGCTGAGAGTGTGTGCAGGAGATGGTGGCTTGTGATAGTGCAGCTTGGAGCACTAGCATCTCGGGAGGTGGACATGCTATCTCATTAATTTTCATCTCCTGTGCATTGTTTGTGGAAAACCCACTTAAACTAAAAGGGATTTGCTGGGGGTGGGGGGGGGGGTCAGGTGTCTTTGACCTCAGACTTCTCCGCCTGCCGTGTGTACTGGAGGACAACTGGCTCTGCTGAGCAGAATGCACACACCCAGGATACCCTGAAGCGATTCTCAGCACATATGAGGTGAGGATGCTTTGCTTGCCAGGTGTGTTTGCTTTTGCAGCACCTGGAATTTCCCAGCCTGTTTCATGATGTATTTTTGCTTTTGAGGGAAATTTTGGAAGCATTTTCTTTTTTTATTTACTTTTTTCCTCACCCGAGGATTTGTTGGTGGTTTTTATTTATTTACTTATTTTAGAGAGAGAGAAAGAGAAATATCGATCTCTCGGGTGTGCACACCCCGACTGGAGACCTAGCCTGCAACCTAGGTAGGTGCCCTGACCGGGAATTGAACCCGTAACCCTTCGGTGTATGGATGATGTTCCAACTAACCGCTACCCAGGCAGGGCTGGAAGCATTGTCTTGAACTTCAGAGTATAATTTACATTTTCATATAAGCCATAATCTAGGCAAGTGTTTCTCAGTGTGTGGTCCTCGATCCCTAGGGGGCCCCAATATCTTTTGGGGGGTTCATGAGGTTAAAGCTATTTTCATAATAAGATGTTATTTTCTTTTTTCACTGTGTGGACATTTGCACTGAAGCCACCAGAGGACCTGTAGTCATCATAGCTTCATGCCACTTGCTCACATGAGTGCTAACCTGTAGGCTGAAGGGTCCTGGGTTCAATTCCAGTCAAGGGCACATGCCTTGGTTGCAAGCTCGATCTGGCTGGGGTGCGTGCAGGAGGCAACCAATCAGTGAAACATCGATGTTTCTCTCTCTCTCTGTCTTTCCCTCTCCCTTCCACTCTCTCTAAAAATCAATGGAAAAACATCATTGGATGAGGATTTTTAAAAAAAGAAAGAAAAAAGGGAATATCCTTGATGGGTAAGTAAAAGTTACTAATATTATTAAATTTTGACCCTTGGGTGCATGTCTTTTTTTTTTTAATGTTATTTTTTACTGATTTTAGAGAGAGGAAGGAAGAGGGAGAGAGATAGAAAGAAACATTGATGAGAGAGAAACTTTAACATTGATTGGGGATCAAGCCCGCAACCTGGGCATGTGCCCTGATTGAGAATCAAATGGTGACCTCTTGGTGAATGAGCCACATTGGTTGGGCAAGAATACTTGTCTTTTTAGTATTGTATGTGGTGGGAAGTATGCGTGGAGCCCCTGCTGTGTGCTGAGGTAGGGTGGCTGTCCCTGGGAAGAATGCGGCAGGTGATGAAGTAGACACTTTTTCACTTGAAGGAGCAAGAGAACCAACTATAGTTTTTGAGATTTGGGTATTTAACAGACACTTTCTGCAAATGGGCCAAGTGAACCTGTCACTTCAGGGAAATCAACTGACCATACCTGTTGCCAATGATAAAATTCAGGCTTTGAAGTAAAAGTCAGAATTTTAGAAAGCATAACTACCGCTGCGAGTTTGATAGCTTTCCAATAAATACTGTTAAGTACTGATGAGATTGGTGGTGATGCCAACAAAGGCAGTGTTGTGTGGTGAAATGTGTCAGTCAACCTTCCAAAAATCTGCATCACTTGCTGACCCAGTGTTTCCAGATGACCAGTGTGTGTGAGGTTACAGAACCACGCATAGGGAAAGGTCAAAGTCCAAGAGAGACCAGAGAGTTTAGTGTGACAGTGAGGCATGTTCATTGGTTTCAGATTCCACATTGCAACTAACCTTTAAAAAACTATCACGTGTTGAGTTTTTGTTTAGTATCAAAAAGATCCACATTTTTCTTAAGGGTGTTCATATAGTCCTCCGTTTTTCAGTAATCTATGCGGGGCCAGATTTTCTTCTTATATTTCAACCAAAATAACATCAGAACAGATTGAATGCAGATGCAAATATGAGAATCCAGCTGTTTTTTCATTAAGCGGGGCATTAAAGAAATTTGCAACTGTAATATATTGCCACTCTTTTCAGTAATTATTTTTGGAAAATAACAGTTATTGCCCATTAAAAATGTCTATGTGAATGTTTGGTGGGTTTACTTTATTTTTAATTTATTTATTGCTTCTGAGAGAGAGGGAGAGAAAGAGAAAGAGAGAAACATCGATTTGTTGTCCCACTTATGCATTTATTGGTTGATTCTTGTATGTGCCCTGACCAGGGATCGAACCTGCATGACTTACCAGATGACTCTAACCAAACTGGTCAGGGGCCTAGTGGGTTTACTTTAAATGAATTAATAAATACATATTTTTTAAAATATATTTTATTGATTTTTTACAGAGAGGAAGGAGGAAGGGAGAGGGATAGAGAGTTAGAAACATCGATGAGAGAGAAACATCAATCAGCTGCCTTCTGCACACCCCCTACTGGGGATGTGCCCACAACCAAGGTACATGCCCTTGACTGTAATCGAACCCGGGACCCTTCAGTCCGCAGGCCAACGCTCTATCCATTGAGCCAAACCGGTTAGGGCATAAATACATATTTTTAAATTTTTTATTTTAATTCTTAGTATGGTAAATATTGATGAATATAACTCATATAAACAAAAGATCTTTGGGGTCCTCAGTAATGTTTTTAGTGTAAAGGAATCCTGAAGTTTTGAGAACTGGTGAGCTGGGTGATAGTAAAGAAGTTATTCAGTTTTCTCCTCAGGCTTATAAAAAGTCCAGAAACCCACCCAACCAGCACTCAGAATTGGAATCCCTCCTTCCTGCTTCCCTCTGCTTTCTCTGTGGCTCTCACCTCTCACCATATAGCATCCTGCGTTGCCAGGAGAAGGAGGCAGATGTTGAGAAGTCAGAGTTGTACAAGGAGCTGGTATTTTCACATCATCTGTGTAGCTCTCTTGCATGGTGATCACTGACACCTGTCACAGTGATCCCTAAGAGTCTGTAAAGGTGTGTACTAAAGAATGGTCAGTTAATTTGATTTTTACATTTAACAGAAACAAGAAAGTGAGAAATTTCCAACAAATGTTGAGATAACAGTATTGTTTTCTAATTGATTTTTAGGTAGTTAGAAAATTTAGTTAAGCATAATGTTTTCCCAACTCTGATCAGCCAGGGTTTAGTGTAAAGGTTTTTTCATAACTGTGTACCTAGATCTGTTGTCACTGAGTAAATACACTTTACGTCACAGCCACATTTTCACTGGATACTTGCACCCTTATTTACCTTTTATCGGTTTGTTGCATGACTGAATAATACAGAGATCACTTCTGTGTGACATCTGGGTGGTTGGGGACTGTGTTGATGTCGTTGCCAATGCATGTCCATTGGATAGAGGATGAAACATTGATGGGTGGTTAGTGACCAACCATGGAGGCCAAGGCCAAAGTGATGCCCAGGAGGGCATCTAGGTTTATTATATTTTTGTTATAGTCTTCACCCAAGGATATTTTTCCATTGATTTTTTTAGGAAGAGTGGAAGAGAGAGGGAAAGACAGAGAGAAACTTTTGATGTGAGAGAAACACATCGATTGGTTGCCTCCTGCATGGGCCCCGGTCAGGGCTTGGGCTGGGGAGGAACCTGCAACCAAGGTACGTGCCCTTGACCGGATTCAAATCCGGGACCCTTTGTTCTGCAAGCCGACGTTCTATCCACTGAGCCAAACCGCTAGGACGAGGGCCTCTAAGTTTAGGTCAGTTTATTTACAGGGATCTCAATAAATAATTGCATTTAGGGAATTAAAAACAGTTGTGATGATGATGCATTTCTTATCCCTTTTGTAATGTGCAGTTGGCTAAAGACCTTTCTGGGCTGACATTTTCATTTTTGAATAATGTGATAAATCTTATTTCTTATGTCTTTGTGAGATTATCACGTATTTTTGTTTCTGGCACTCTCACACCTCTCCTGTAAATGTCACCTGCTACAGCACTAATCTGCATTGTCTCTCTCCAGGCATCTTTTGATGTCCCAGCAGACTCTGAGGAACGTGCCACCGATAGTGTTTGTTCAGGACAAACAGCATGCAGCTCTAGCTGAGGTGAGGCCTTTAAATCATAGACTTTATGAAGTAAACTTTTACATAGGTGAGGTTTCTAAAAAGGTAATGCTTACCATTTACCAAAGTAATACTTGAAAGGGTACAAATGAAAAGACAAACTCCCATGCTCATTCCCAGCCTGAGTCACCAGATGTAACCTTATTTTCTGGTTCTAATTTTTTTTCTTTTTAATACTCACCCCAGGATATGTTTTTATTGATTTCAGAGAGAGAGGAAGGGAAAGATAAGAAAACATTGATGGGAGATAAACATTGACCTGTTGCCTCCTGTACACGCTCTGACGGAATTGAACCCGCAGCCTTTCAGTATACGGGATGACACTTCAACTAATTGAGCCACCCGGCTAGGGCTTTAATTTTTTTAAAATATGTTTTTATTGATTTCAGAGAGGAAGGGAAAGGGAGAGAGGAAAAAAAAAGAAAGAAAAAAAAAAGGGAGAGAGGGATAGAAAACCAATGATGAGAGAGAACCATTGATCAGCTGCCTCCTGTACTGCCCCAACTGGGGATCGAGCCTATAACCCAGGCATGTGCCCTGACCAGGAATGGAACCATGACCTCCTGGTTCATAGATTGATGCTCAACTACTGAGCAACACCAGCCGGGCCTGGACTTTAACTTTTTTTTTAATGCTTATCTCTGTAACTCAACTAGTGAACCAAATCTCCAGTTCTCGGTTTATAAACTTGAGGCAGCCAGAGCTACCCTCCTGTGCTTACTGTCTTCTCTCATTTCCTGGATTGCAATCCACCTATGGTTATTATTACTGTTGCGGATTCGTGCACTGGTGGAGTCCCTTGGCCTGGCTTGCGAAGATCAGGCTAAAACCAGCAGTCCGACATCCCCCAAGGGGTCCCAAATTGCGAGAGGGCGCAGGCCAGGCCAAGGGACCCCACAGGTGTACGAATCTGTGCACCAGGCCTGTAGTATGCATATAAGATCTTTGGTTAATCTCTTCCCCCCTCTCCCCTCCCCTCTTCCCCCTGAGATTCATCAGTCTGTCCCATGTTTCCATGCTTGTGCATTGAGCGTCTGCCCCCTGGTGGACATTGCACATCATAGCTACTGGTCGAACGGTCACTTAGGTTTTTATATAGATAATTATTAATCCTTACTCAAGGATATGTTCTTATTGATTTCAGAGAGAGAGAGAGAGAGAGAGAGAGAGAGAGAGAGGAAGGGAGGGGGAGAGACAGAGAGAGAAACATCAACTAGTTGCCTTCCATACATACCCCGACCGGGGATCAACCCACAACCCAGGCATGTGTCCTGACCAGGAATTGAACCAGTGACCTTTTGGTGCATGGGATGATGCTTAACCAACTGAGCCACACTGGCCAGGGCCAGTCCTGCTTGTTTTTCTTTCTGCTTATCTTCGGGTTGTACAGATTAGTTATATGTCTGGTCCAAGTTCCTGTCAGAGCGTGTGTTGGGAGTCTTTTCTCCCAGTTTGTCTTTGTTGTGTCAATCTTATTTCTGGTGTTTTCTGTGCACTAATTTAACTCCTGGTTCTGCTTCTTTGCACATTTATAATTTTTATCGGTGTCCCTGGGTGGCACTGTTTTCTGTTGCTGCAGAGTGACGGGCTGTCTGGGCTTGCACTAGAGCGGACACTGCCCCAGGAAGGCTGACTTGGTGCTGGCCTGCTTTTTCCACAAGCACAAATCCTGTGGCAAAACAAGCATTTTACAAAACAGTAAATGTTACTTACATAATTCAATTAATATCCAATTGTTGTTAGTAAATTTTACTAACATTTACAAATTTCAATGGTTTTTAAAAACTGTTCATCATCAAAGAAAATGTGATTGTTAAAATAATAGGTGTTTGAAAGCACTGGCTATTGTATGGTCTTGTCTTTGGGAAAGTATTGCTGTAAGAAGTGACGTAAAGTGCACCCGGAAGGCCTATGGCCCAGTGCAGGGTGCACGCAGCTCTGACGCAGCACTGCGGGTGTGGTTGCTGAACTGCCTTCTGTTCTTTTCCAGGTGGATCGGTTACTGGCAGTTGCTGATTTTGGACCCCCTGATGAACAAGAAGACCTCACACAAAGTGACTTCAGGTGATACATGTGGACGTGTGCTCAGTTCTTGGGCAGATGCAAGGTGTGAGTGGCCTGCAGCAGCTCAGGTGCCACTGTACCAATAATAGAATGAACTAAGTTTGCATCAAGAAATGGCCCCAAATGTGGCCTAGTGTGCTGGGCATGTTTAATTAGGGGAGGGAGAATGAAAATGTGTCTAATGACCATGCAAATGGCTGCATCAGAATTGTCAAGGCCTGTGCCACACACAGGCACCGAGAGTGCTGGTTGAGTGGTCCTGGGCTGGAGAGTGCCAAATCCAAAACTCACTGTCCTATCCTCCACAGTTTCCATTAGGTAGACCTTAGGACAGTTCAGAGGCCATGGGTGTGGAAAGGTGAAGCACTAGCCCAGGAGCTCCCATGAAGTTGCTCTGGCGCTTCATCTGTGCTTCTCCCTTCCAGGGACCCTGAGGCCCCAGATGCTCCATCGCCATGTGACGCCCTGGGCCCTGCCGTGCACTCGAGTCTGTATGGGATTGATCATGAGGCTCTCAACAAGCAGATCATGGAGTACAAGAAGAGGAAAGAGAAAGGACACAGGGGCGAGAGCCCAGCATGGCTGGAGCCAGAGCAGGTGGCTGAGCTGACAAGGCAAATGACAAGGAGGAAGAAGGCCAAGCCTCGTGTGGACGATGATCTCTCCCCCAAGAACTATCCATGGGGGTTGGTGAGTGAAGACGACCTGGACGATGATGGGGCCCTTCAGGAGGAGTTCACCCCAGTACAGGAGTGGGAGCTCCGAGAAGCAGAGCAGAAACTGAAGGCAGAGAGAGGAGGTGACAGAAAGGACTGAGGTGACTGTTAATGATCACAAAGGGTGTGGGTGTGAGGCTTCAACTCTGCACCTGATGGAAATTCTGCTTTGAGAAGCACAGTCATTTCTAGTTTTTCACAGGAAAGCCTTTGTAGGATGTGCAGCTGAGTTACACCAGTTATCTCTCTCAGCCCTGCTATTACTGGTACTGTGGAAAGTAAGATGGCCTGTGGAAAGTGCATAAAAACCTTTTAGATTGATGACAATAGGTTGATCCTCATTATTTGTGTACTCCATATTTTTAGGTTTGCCTACTCATTAAAATTTCTTTTTTTAAAGATTTTAAATTAATTTTCAGAGAGAGGAAGGGGGAGAGGGGAAAAAAAAAAAAAGAGAGAGAGAGAGAAACATTGATGTGAGAGTGCAACACTGATTGGCTGCCTCCTCACACCCCAGACCGGGATTGAGCCTGCAACCCAGGTATGTGTCCTGACCAGGAATCAAACTGGCAACCTTTTAGTGCATGAGATAGCATCCAACATTTGAGCCACACTGGCCAGGGTTCACTAAAATTTCTTTGTAACCCCAAAATCAATACTTGGGGCATTTTCACGGTCATTCTTAGATATGCCCAGAGAGATGAAAATTGGAATCATGTAATGCACACATCTTAGTTAAGTTCAGACAAGGCAAAGCTCTACCTTCTTATTTCCTCTCATACTGTAAACAACTGCTTTTCGAGGTTCACTTAGTGCCACATTTTCCACGATTTTGTGTCTCTGATGGCGATTTCACTGTTTAAAAATGGCCCCAAGCAGGGTGGTAAAGTGCTGTCTAGTTTTTCTAAGTGCAAGATGGCTGTGATGTGCCTTTCAGAGAAAGAAAAGAGGTCAGATGAGTATTGTTCAGGCACGAGTAAGGAGCTGTTGGGGAAAGTAAAATGATTTTTAGGTAATCAGAGACAGGTGCAGTGTTAAGATAAAGCACAGAGAACTTGAAACATAATTTCCATTTTTGCAAAGTGTTTCAGGAAGGAAATGTTGCTCTCATCTCTGCATTGCTGGCAAGCCCCCAACGCTGTTTCCTGCATAGGCATCTGGGACCAGATGCAGTGCCCCAGCAGGGACATGGCACCAAGCAGCTCTGCCTTTGCCAGCACAATGGCCCGACTGAAGGAACTGGATCACAGGACACAGGCAGACCCCTGCAGATGCTCTAGGCATGTTGATATTTGGGTAGCACATGTGTGATCCCATTCGCCTTCAAAGGATGTGTGTATCCTTGTGTGGGGAGCATTTCCTAGGAGTACAGGTTGCTTCTCTTCTGACTGAAGAAGGGGGTTGAACCCGTGTTAAAATGTACGAGGGATTTGTTCTAATCAGGTATGTGAAGATGACAGACTTGGAGACAACTGCCTTGAATGAAATATTTGGTACTTGCAGCTTCCAAGAGAAGGAACCACACTGTTCAGGACCACCAGGAAGTGTAAGGTGGGTGAGGAGGCAGAACAAATTGGGGTGGAGGGAGGGGGAGCATTGTCCAGAGCCTATGCTGTGGTTTCTCCAGAAAGGAATGGGCAAGGCATAGTAGATAAGTTTGAGCAGGATTAGGATTGGATGGTTGGAATAATTTCAGCAGACTCTGGGCTGCAAGGGTAGTTTCTACTTGCTCAGTACCTGGTCCTGGGGTGATAAAGGGCAGAGGAAATACTGGCCTGGGAGTGTAAGAGCTAGATAAAAGAAGTGGTTGGAAAGACCCGATTAATACTAGACCCACAGCACTGAGAAGCCTGCTCTACTGACCACTAATTCTGCATCAACACTGCAGAAGGTACCCAGATCCCAAGTGCCAAGGGGTGAGTGTGGTGGCAAGGCTCTTGAGTTGTGACGTCAGTACACACCGAATGCAGGCGTGCCCATGTCTTCCACGTATCAAAGAAATGGGGATTGTAGGAGATGCTGGTACAATATGCTGCTTGTTCTTTTTTTCTTTCCATTTGTGCTCCAGAGCCAAGCTCCGTATAAGGTAACAAATGGCAAGAATGATATTTTTTTTAGACCCAGGAAATTTTGTTTATATTCCATACAGGAAGGATTTAAGACTATTTGTAAGGATGGATAAAACACCACATAATAGTATTACGTAGAACAAAAATAAAGGGGCCAGGAATGAGAAGAGATGGTACTTGGACCAATAATGGAATGAATTAAGGTTATGTCAAGAAAGGGAGACTAAAATGTGAGCCTGGCTGGTGTTTTCCACTGGTGGGTTCTCAGAGCGTTTCTACTGGAGCCCTATTCACGAGGGAGGGGTAGTTTGGTCACATTGACTCCTCCCTGCATTTCCTGACAAGTGGTGGAAGGTGTTGCCATGTGGACATGGACCAATTCCTTTTAGGTAAAAAAAATAACACTAATAGCATCTGCATTAGCAACTGGAATGCAGCACTTTGCACATCTTTAAGGATTAATTTCATCTTTGATATGAAAAGAATCAAAACTAAACACTAGACTTCCCAAATACAAAGAATGCTTCCAAATTCACTAAAAGGACTTAGAACTTTAGTTACTTCAAGCACATTCAAGGAGCTTCCAGGTTGGTAGGCATGTGGAGATTTGGGGTGTGGCACGCTTGGAGGACATGGGAGCTCTGGGTTTTTTCCCAACACCTCACCCCATGTAGCCCTTCCACCTGGCTATGCCCGAGTTATATTGTTTTAAAATAAGCTGGTGATCTACATGTGGGCTTTCAGATAGCAACCAAAAGTCCCACCACATATACTTCCTGAAGAGTGATACCAAAGGGCCAGTTGGAAATCTTAGGACCACCTGTGCATCCAAACTTTGGATCTTAGTAAAACAGGGTTGGGGCCTTGCTTCTTTCTCTGCTAGAACAGGGACTATAAAAATTGGTCCATTTCCTTCTAAGATTTTGGCAAAGCAGACTGCCAAGAGTTACTCTGTATCTGCAGGGCACAGCAAATGGGAGGCACTGTTCTATTCCTCTAGGTCATGGATGCTCTGAATGCCTCAGGACCCATCTCTAGAAACATCCAAGAAGCAGCCTGTGTGCAGCTTCTTTCCCTAAAAATGCTCAAGTTTGCCTAACCAGGCATGACAGCATAGGAAACAGGAGCTCTAACTCGCAGCCTTTCAGTGTCTCACTTTACCCATCTGTGAAGTGCACACAGGATATCAGACAAGAAAACCTCACCTTCTTTCACAATTCTGAGGAATCTAGTGGAAGATGGATGTGGGACATCTCATTGTGCCAGATAACCTGAGGTGACAGTGACTGAACAACTACTGCTAAGACCAGAACCCAAATGTTCCTAGTAAATATGGAAGCAATATGGTTTCCATCTATCTTCTTTTAAAATGGACTTTCAGCAACTGAAGGCAGAGCAGGAGAAGTTTTAACCTACAGTATTTAGCTCTGGATAATGGTAACTTTTATGGAAGGCATGCCCCTGTGACATCATCTTCTATATATATTTTCAGATTCACTTATGCATAGCACCTCTCAACATGGAGTGTGAGAGTATTGGGTACAGCTTTTAAAGTAAGATGTTCAGAATATGTGTAGAACTCTCAAATGTCCAATAACGCCTCTCCACTCATCTCCAAACATAAAATTTTCTCTATACCTCTACTCTGCATGAAGATGGCTCACGCACTGGCTTTGTAGAGTGGAAGAGAGCGGGAAAGAGAGAGAGAAACATTGATGTGAAAGAAACACATTGATTGGTTGCCCCCTGCATGAGCCCCGATCAGGGCCCTGCAACTAAAGTATGTGTAAAGAGTTGAACCCAGGACCTTTGGTCTGCAGGCCAACGCTTTATCCACTGAGTGAAACCAGCTAGGGCATCTTTGGGCATTTTTGATAAGATGGAAGACATGAGGGTGTCAGAATTGAGAGAGAGTTTGATGGAAGGGATATTGCTGTTTCTGGGCACAGAGACAGGCTACAACAAGAACATAACAAAAACAAGACAATAAAACATCAAACTCTAGGGAAGGGACAGAATCTGATTTCCAGAGTTACTACATTATTCGATTCAAATATTGAGTTTTCAACATAAGAATTACAAGGCATACAAAAAATAGGAAAGTATGGCCCATTCAAAAGAAAAAATAAACAGAAACTGTCTCTGAAAAAGATCTGATGGTAGATTTACTAGACAGAGACTTTAAAACTGTTAAAATGCACAAAAAGCAAAAAAAAAAAAAAGAGAATGTCAAGAAAATTATGCATGAACAAAATGCAGGAGACAACCAATATGTGTCTCTCACATTGATATTTATCTTCCTCTTTCCCTCTCTCTTCCACTCTACCTAAAAATCAATGGGAAAATATCCTTAGGTGAAGATAAAAAAAAGAAAAAGAAAATAGCCATAGCATATATACAAGGAGATATATAAAAGAAAATGAGAAAGGAATTTAAATGTTTAACTACAAAAAAACACACACTAAGCATAAAAAGAGTAATTCAAGGAATGAGGGGCAAAAATATATACAGCATATAGAAAAGAAATAGCAAAATCACAAAAATCCTTATCAGTAATTAAATGTAACAGTATTAAACTCTCCAATGAAAAGAGAGATCAACAAATTGATGAAAAACACTGCCAACTACATGCTGTCTACAAGAGATTAACTTTAGATCCAAACAGATTCCAGCCCTAACTGGTTTGGCTCAGTGGATAGAGCATCGACCTGCGGACTGAAAGCTCCCAGGTTTGATTCCGGTCAATGGCACGTACCTTGGTTGCGGGCACATCCCCAGTAGGAAGCGTGTAGGAGGCAGCTGATCGATGTTTCTCTCTCATCGATGTTTCTAACTCTCTATCCCTCTCCCTTCCTCTCTGTAAAAAATAAATAAAATATTTTAAAAAGTTAAAAAAAAGAGATTCCATGGAAATAGTAACCAAAATTGGCTACACTGATATTAGACCAAAATGACTTTAAATAATAAAGATGTCATGAGACAAAGGAGGACATAATATACTAATAAAAGTTTCAGCAAAACAAGATATATAAACATTTAGACACTTATGATGAACCATCAAATATTAAGGAAAACTGACATAATCAACAGAGAAATAGTTCTAAAATAACAATTGGATACTTTAGAACCCCTTTCAGAATAATGGATGCAAAAACCAGACAGAAGTAAGGAAATAGAGGACTTACAACAAATGAACTATATCTAACAGACATACAGAACACTCTACTCAACAACATACACATTCTTCTCAAATGCACA